CAACAAAGTTTGTAATAAAAAGTCTTTTGAAAGTAATACACTATCCACTGAAATTCAAGAGCCCATCACAATTTACAGTGAATACTTGCTGACTTTTCAGCTACACTGTACTATGGTGGTTTTTGCAACTTTTTTTATTTCTTGTTGGTTTGGTTGTGTTTTTCTACTATTTGTTGAGTTGGGCCTCTTTGTTTCATAAATGAGGAATTTCTTGTAAGATGTTTCAGTACAAATAAAAAACATGGAGACTATACATGAATGAAATGAGTGTGAACAAGGAGTGCAGTGGCTGTGCTGTCTCTGCATTTGGCTTCTTGATGCTGTGTAAGAATGAGGGGCTACTATGATGCTACTGAAGTTTGTGGAGTTTAGATTGCAGAGTGGTGAGGTGCAACAGGGGTTAGACAGATGCTGAAATCCAGAAACAGTTCTTGCATCTAGCAGGCAAGGATAGCCAGCAGTTAGTGCTGGAAAACAGGCATTCTTCAACATTAGAAAGGGTTTACATTTTAACAGGCAGCATAGTTAACAAGGAAACTACCTAATATTTTCTATTGAGTTGTTAGATAAACTTAAATACTTTCACAAATATGCTTGGACTTGAGAGTATGAATTGCCTGTGGCTTGTATTGTACAGGTCAAAAAATGTCAGAGGATTCTTTAAAAGTGTTATCTGAAAAACATAACCTGAGCTAAGTTCAGAACAAAGCAGCTCTTTCAGAGGCACTCTGGCTGATCTTGTTTCTTGGGTAATATGATTTTTATCAACTGGACTATTATTCCTGTCAGGTGGCATTTACTCCATCTCCTTCCTTTGTTTAGCAGCTTCACGATGGAGACCTTCAGTAACACGGGTTTACTCACTGGAGAATTTGCCATCTAAGAATCAGCACTTGCACGCTGCCTCTTGCACTGCTCTCAAGTAGCACACAAGGCATTTCTGCTTTTAATTTTGAAAGAGTTCTCAGCAAAGGAATCCTGATGGAATTAATTAGGGAAGACAAGTGCAGCATGTTTCCCTTTCAACGGCTTGCTCAATCAAATGGAATTACGAATATTATGAACCAGTACTTCGTTCCAACTAACTATTCACTTTGCTCACTTGAGCATCCAATGTTTGTACAGCTTTGCTTATCCCAGGACTTCTAACCCTTCCCAGAAATGCAGTTTTCTTGTTTGTGGCATAATCCCTGGAGCCTGGGTTCTGAATGGAGTTGTTGTTGACTGGTATGCTGCAAGCAAGAAGACAACTATAACTGATCTTTCCTCTTCAGTATACCAGACGGAAATCAATCCCATGAGAAGGTAGAGATCTTGAACTTGTTCAGACTGTGGAACAACTGGACAGTTTGACAGCTGCCTCTTTTTCCCCTGGTCAGCTCTATGGAGTAGACAGGAACCTGAGAAAGGGAACCTCTAACTAATCTCTGTTAGCAGGGGGTGTGCAGTTCAGCTCAGAAGTTGGCAGCTCATGGGCCAGCAGTGTTGTCAGTGTGAGCTCAGCTCCTTTCAGGTCACTGGGGAGGAGATGCTGTTCAAGAGGAGCAGTGTTTCAGTGCAGCAAGCTCTGCGCAAATGCGGATTTGGTGGTGTTGCCTGCTACTTGGAGTCTCTGTGCCTGTAAATAAATCGTTATCAGAATCCTTGCTGTATAAGTAAGCAGATGGCAGCCTCCCCTTTTGCCATGAGGGACTGCCACCCTGTGTAGGACTTCTCTCCTTTTCTTTCCTTATAAAATAAGAGTAACAATTACCTCCAGAACAAGCATTAGTAGAAATAGCAGACAAGCAATTTTTACGAATATTTGCACAGCTCCTGCTGCAGCTATTTATGTAACTTGAGAAACTGGAGTTGTTTTCAGTAGCAGCAGGAGTCAGAGCAGGCCCTTTGTACCACCTCAGGGTCCTGTGGGATGCTGCAGAGGCTGCAGCAACAGCTGCTCCTCCCCCTTGGCATTTCTGTCTTGGAACAGAACACAAGTGCATCTGTTCTGGCAGGTCTGAGATGAAAATGTATTTCTTCCTCCAACTTTATTCTATTCCTCTACAAAAACACCACTGAGGAGGACAGTTGGAATTCTTGGTGTAAACAAGCAAATACAAAGCCTCTTTAAAAAAAAATAAAAAAAATCAGTGAACTGCTCAAGAATATGAAAAAGTTGGGAGCATGAAGCTTTGGTTGATATGCATTGAGGGTGCTCTCAGACACCATCGAGATTACTGCATTGTAAGGATGGGTAAGATTTCCTATTATGGATTCCAGGTGCTGATGATAATAAACTCAATAGCAAAACCCGGGCCTTTAGGGCATATAGCTGAGATAGCTATTGTTGTTTCAGCTTATCTTTTGTATGTAATCTTACAGTAAAATATAGATGAGCTGTTCTGTTGAGGTAAGACAGGAACCACGTACAGGTGTAGGAATACATGCTGGCTGTGCTTCCAGGCTAGGAAACTGCTCTGTGACATGCAGTGTTGGGGGTTCAGGTGTGAGGCTGAAATATTTCCAGGACAGGTGTTGTCCTTAGGGTAAAAGGAGGAATGAAACCCAAGGATGGCAGCTGTGCTAATCTAAGTTAGCTGAGCATAGCCCTGATGTTTTTAATTTGGTGAAGGTTATAAACTGTACCTGCAGTTATAAGGCCATATTACAGTTATAATGCTGATAAAGGATTAAATGTTAAATAAAATTATACCCCGTTGACTGTTAATACTGATGGCTGAGAATTTAAGAGATGACAGTTTTATTCCTGCTCTCTGCTGTTGGTCTTTACTGTCACTTTCTTATGGTACATTTTTCTGCAGTACCACTTGCTTTGACACTCCTAGTTTGCTTGTGAAGTGAGATATGATTTAGCTATGGAATTCTGCAGGCTGTGTACTGACAACATCTGTATTTAACTATCCTATTTCCTGCAGATCACTGCTGCAAACCTTCTTGTGACTGGAGGCATACGTAGTTTTACTAATAAAACCTCTCTAGGTGTTTGTAGCTCAGACAGACCAGCGAGGCTGAATTTGTGTGTTTGTTCTTTGCTTTTGCTGTGTTCCTGTGACACAAATAACCAACAGCTTTTCTTAGATAAAGTTGCAAAACTGCTCTTGTCCTGATGCGTATTTATTTAGCATCATGTTGAATGAATGACATCTGGCAGGGTTTTTACCCTCACAGCTGCTTGCCATCTGTTAGTAAGCCAAGGTGAATATGTTCTAAATGGCAGCTGCAGGCTGGGCTGCTGATTTCATTTCAGCAGTGCTTCCCTGTGAATGCCACAATATAAATAACTGGGTGCCAAGAGCACGGGCTAAAGAATTTTTTGAAAAGCGGTATAAAATGTGAAATGCTTTAACAACCTGTTACACTCTGAATACAGACAGAGCTGCAGCTCTTATTGCTGTCCTGAAGTCTGTGGGTGTCAGCCTCAGCCTGGGCAGCCCATCAACTTGCATCACCCCACAGGGACATCCTGCCAAGCCAGCTGTGTATCAGCAATGCAGAGGGGACAGTTCTGAAGGAGCTGGTGATGGTTCTTCCAGTTGGAGCCTCCTGCCTGCCTGCCTGACAGAGTAAAAAGCATAATTTGCTAAGTAGTAACCCATTGTTTCCCAGCAAAAAGAGGTCAGTTTTCTCTGCTATCAAGTTCTGGTCATGCTGCAGCTAGTTTGATGGACATATACTGTGAAGCAGAAGAACAGTTGCATACTCAGAGTTCAAATTGCTGCACAAGTTACACACAGCCATTCCTTTGCTCTTTCAGGATAATGCCTTTGCAGCTTTTTCTTGTTATTTCTCTTTCTACCACAGAGCAGATCCTGTGTGGATATTCAGAAAGTACTGAGCACACCAAACTGAGTTTGTAATCTGGAAGCAAACCTGGGTCACATTATGGAAGTGCATGGAGCGAGGTAGGGAGGTAAGAAGAATGCGGAAGGGGCGTGAGAAGCATAAATATCCTTCTGGCTGGGGTCTAATGCTTCAGTGTTCTTATTGCAGGTAAGAGGAAGAAAGGAGTGGGGATGAAAGTGCAAATGGCACGTTCCAGAGATGAGAGAGGAAGAGAAAAATGGAGTATTAAAATGATGGAAGAGAAAACAGGAGCAACCACCACAAAGAGAAGCCGAGAGGCATATTTCAAAGGAAACTGGAAGCAGGAGAGTTGCAGTTAAGTTCAGTTGTGCACGAGTTCATCTAAAGGTCTGGCTGGGCTGGAGGGGAGGCACCAATAATGCTCCAATCTGTACCAACTTTTTGTCCTGTTCCCCCTTCAAGTCTCTGTACTGATAGCTTAGCAAGCTTCACATTTGAATTCTGGCCAAGTAAGCAGGAAGGACTGAGCCTAAAAAAGCAGCAGATCCTTCCGTCTGCCTCCTCTGCTTTCTTTTCCCCTTAATCTTTGTCACTCTCCCTGCAAACGTGATACCATTTCACCAGTAAAGCAAGACCAGTTCTCCAAGCAAGCCACAGACTTCTGGCACAGGGTGAGAGACATTTTGCCTTTCAGTAATATTATCTCACCTTTGAGTTTCTTGGGTTCTAATATGCTCATATATAGGCTTTGCTCTTCCACTCTCTACCACCAGGTAGCTCTATTCTCTCTTCCTTAGGATGGAAGTGTCATGCTCTGTATAGCTGGCAGGGAAAATGGTGTCTCCAGAAGTAGTTTCAGTTACTCTCATATATCATCAAAGGAGGAATACACTTATCATTTGGGGCAAAAAAAAGTTTCATATGAAACTGGAAGATTCAAAGGTAAGGGAAATGGAAGAAGGGGAGAGGGTACAGGCAGTGCCTTTCTTTGGTTTCTTTGATAGTCAGTCCAGATTGAGACACAGGTGAAAACTAAAAGGCCTCTCTCCCTTAATGTTTTTTTTCTGAAAAAATGCTGGGTTCAGATATCCATCACAACCTGTAGATGGATAAAATGGAGAGAAGAGGGTCATAGCTGCACTGGGCTCATTGTTCTGTTGCTTACTGGGCAACACCAGCGGCAGATGACAACGTTTTGTGCTTTGGGACAAAGAATTTTATTGTGCATTTACTACAAGTTGATGGATCTCAAAGGTGATCCACTGTGCAAGGAGTTGTCTGAGGATGATCAGAAATGTGTAGGTCTCTGTATCCAAATGTAGGATTGCCATCAGATTACACCTGCTGTACAACAGATTTCAGCTGTGGAAGCTTTCATGTCAAGCATTAGTAATCCTGGTAGAGGTACAGGCTTAATGAATTCATAGCACCTGAGTTGGCTGGGAAGTCTGCTGCTTAACCCACTCGTTGATCAGTTTGTGAGCAATGGCCTGTTTGGGAGGGAACCAGGGTAAAAAACTTCCGTTGTCTTGCTTTGCAGATCTGGGTTCTCGCTTGAGACCCTCCATGATTTCTTCCAGGCCAAACCAGCGGGCTTCCTCCAGCTCCAGGCTGTTCACGCTGATCTGGAAAGAATTAGGGGAGTACCAGTTTCCTTAAAACAGCTTCAAATGTGGGCAGCAGTCCCTCGTTCTTGCTCCTGCAAAGATCCCATACTAGAATAACTGGAGTGATTAATCCGTGCTGGAGTTAATTGTTGATGCCAGCACAGGAGAGGACATGACTGCCCACTGATGTTTCCTTAGGGAAGCCACAGGTCAGTCAGCCCTATTCCGTTGTGGCATTGGCCTGCAAAGTACTAGTGTCTGATCACAGTAATTAACATAGCAGAAGCTGCACGTTCTACAGCAGATAATGTTCTGAATATTAGAAGGTAACTGCTCTGCAAAGTTAAGAGGGAAAAAATGCAGAAGCATGATCTGGGCTTGTACATTCAGTGACCTGTGTAAAATTTTGCATGTTACAACAGAAGCAATTGTTGTTTTCCAGTCTCTTTTTCACTTATAGGAAGCTAGCTGAAAAAGCATTTAGAGAGGAGCTGATGCTATCCAAGGTAAAGTCTGTGGACTGAAAGAGATTCTGCTATGTAAGGTTGGCATTGAAATGCCTTGGGGGAATGCGAGTCCACTCACCTCCAATTGCTGTCTCCTCACCAATGCATGACAAGCTATCATTAAACAGCTGCTGGGGAAGGGCCAGTGCTGGGATGCTGAATACCAGAGTGACTCCACCTCCAGGCCCACCTCTTCTGCCACTTCTCGCCGGGCTGCTTCCTCCACAGCTTCACCTAGAAGCAGCCATACTTGAGTAAGGGCAGGCTGGCATCAGGGCAGCAAACCATGGCAAGAAAAAACGTAGGTACACTCATTTCTGAGGTGTTCTAGCCCTGACTGTTCAAGCGTGAGCAGGAGCTCTGGCTGTGCTGACCTAGGAATGCTTATTCACTGAATTGAGCATCTTGCTGCCAGTGCTTGCTTCCCTTAACCAACACTATCAGAGACACTCTTGTTTTTTTTCTGTATGCAGAGCCAATGGACAGAATGTGGGGCTACCCTTCTTTGTTTCCCTTTTTTTGTTTCCCACTTTCCCTCTTGTAATAAGAGGTCTGTAGTTTTGTTGGGTTTTTTTTGTTTTTTTTTGTTTTTTTTTTTTGAGCCAGAGGGTATGAGATATAAAACAGACTAAGAAGTATCTGGGTGTTACTGCTCTATTCTGGGAAGCCTTACACCTAAATTTACTATCGGGAACTACAGCAACTGATACACATTCATAATTCACCCATTCTCTTCACATATGTACTATTTTGAACCCTATCTGAGTAATGATGCTGACCCAATCCTCGTTTTTGTGGTATCAACCATGTGTCGTTCATCTTTTGTGAGCAAGCCCTTGGTTGATGTCCCACAGCTCTGCACATCTGAGGGCACTGTGCTGGACGAGAGGCCGCCTCACCTACGTCACAGTAGCCAGACAGAGCGGTGTACATCCCCTGAGGAAACGAAGCCTGTCGTGCAAGGAGGCAGCGGCTGCCATCAGACACCAAGATGATAACTACTGGAGACATCTAGAAAATGCACCCAAGAGCAAAGGAAGGAGTTCAGACCAAACAAGTAAGTGAAAGTGGGGACTTTTCCTAGCTGGCTGGGGGCACTCTGTACTTAGCTGTGCCGCTCAGGTGCTTACCTGTGGGTAATAAGTTATTCCACTGGCATGGCACACGCGCTTGCTGCCAGCTACATTTTTCTGAGTCGGCTGCCCGGTTTTGCTACAGTACTGGTGGGAATCGTGCCAGCGGAGAAGGGCCTGGGCCTGTGAAGAAGGAAATACTGGTCTATGGACAGCCAGAGCCAGATGATTCAGAGCAGTCTCCCCAAGTGATGCTTTGCTGTTTCATGCCCGTAACAGCATGCTGGGGAGAAACTCTGATTACATTTGGAAGCCTCTATAATGCAAATAAAATATGGGTACTGTTTTGATAAAGGGAGTCTTCTGCAATTGGTGTTCTGTGTTCATTGCTCTAGCATCCAAATTTCATCTTTTTAAGGGGAGGTGGAGGAAGAGTTGTTCCTTATTGGGATATAATGGGAGTACTAATGAGAACTGAACTATGCCAGGGAGACGCCAGCCCCAAATACCATTAGGGAAAAATAACCCAAGCATCATAAACTTTACAGAGCAGGAAAAGAAACAGTTATTTCTGCTTCTCTTATTGGACGCCTAATTTTCACACAAGTCTTTCCTTAGAGCTTCCAAACAGGGCATCTGGAGAGTAACAATTTGTAAGTGTGCAGATGTAACAGAGCAGCTCTGACAGAAGATCTGTAAGGCCACTCTTGGAATTCAGTTTGCCAAGAGGATAATAGAAAAGCCATGTGTGTTAATTGCCAAGGACAAACTGGGATTGCTGAAACTACCACTGCCACTGAGATCAGCATATTTCATGCTGGGCGTGCAGCAGGTTGATGCTAAGTGGCAAATGACTGCAATCATTGTTAAGCCTCTTGTCTGCTTCTCTTCCCATTGCAGCTTGCTTTTGTGACAGCAAATCTGGGAGAAGAGCAGTAATTTATAGCATCCTTGTACCTAGTTGGCTAAAAACTGACAGTAGATACTTCCACAATACATATGAAGACATAAAACAATGTGGGAGACAAATGTTAGGAATAATAACTTATTAAGGTTACAAATCCTGCACTGTACCGAGGCCAGCAAAGAAGAATCCTTCTCATCCACTACAAAGAAAGCCTTTCGTAAGTCAGTGAACGATCCCTTGAGCTCAGCCTCAACGACTGATCTTTCCAAGGCTCCTGCTTAAACAAAACAACAAATCTGTGATTTCATGAACTGCAGTTCTTATCCCAACTTTATACCCTTCACTGTTCCAGTATACGACCTCTAGAAGTTCCCGTGGAAGTGACATCACTTCAGCAGTACGCATTTCCAAACGTTAAGTGACCTGCAAACAGCCCACCTTTACAAACACACCCAGAGGAACCACAGCGCAACTGAGCTACAGTTTGGTGGCTCAATCACTGCGCTCACAGCAGCTCCTACAGAGGATCGACTGATTCCTCTTGACAGTAAATAATCACTAGCGTGGAGAAGGGACGCTGCCTCAGCAGCATCTTCATCTCAGTGCATCGAATGTGATGCTGACACAGATGGAAGAGGAGTCACCCAACCTAAATCCAGGGCAAAGTGTGGTACGTGCTCATCTGAACAACCAATCAGCACCGACTTCTCTATCCACTGTTCAGTCTCTCTGAATTTCTCCAGGATCCTTTTCATTTCTAAAGAGCAGGAGAAAGGGGAAGGAAAAGCCGTAAGGAAAATTAATTTGTATGACTGTGAAGCTCTTTCTGCCTAGCCAACGTTTGTGCAATCTGGGTTTGAGGCGGGGTGCTCATGTAAGAGCAGTGGTGGAGACCAGACATACAGCTTTCCTTCCTAGATGTTGTATCTTTAGACCATGTCAAGCTAAAGATGCAAATGTTTTTATGCTTGAGTAACAGCTGTCCATTCCAATTCTCTCTTATGCCAGCTGATACCTTTCTCGCAGAACTTCTCCCTGCTTTGGTGGCAAAACTTGTTGTCTGTTATCCTACCAGCTCTTCAGAAGTTATGGTCCCAAATATTCAAAATTTATAATCTCAAAGTAGCTCAGGTATATTTTGATACCATATGCATGTGAGGAGCTCACATCAATGTGCCAAGGTTTTAACTCCAAATAGACTTTTTTGGTAACAAACAGCATGCCTTATATAACAGGATGGTCTATGTGTGTTTTTTTGTTGTTTTTTTTTTTAACCCATGTAAGGTGTTGCTTGTTGCAAATGATCCTGCATCATTTGAGCTGCATGACCTGGGTGACGCCTTGTCTGGACACCTGCTTACCTGCTGCACTGAGCTGTGGTATCAAATATTTCTTCCCGACTTTCTGCAGGAAGGGTGAGAGATTGTGAAAGATGTAGAAAGTTCCCGAGGTCTGGGCTTGTCTACACAAGATGTCATCTTCCTTTAGCTTACTCAAGTATCTGCAGTAAGAAAAGAGTCGGAATGATGAATTTGAGATCACGTCAATATTACATGTGCTATGCTTATTTGGACACATTTCTTTCAGGCAGAGCAGATCCAAGATATGTAAACCAAGTCTCTCAATCCAAGAGGGTTCTTTAAAAGATGTGGTTGTTTGTGTGCTTCTTCCAGACTGTCTGAAGTTGTATTTAAATGAGGTGAGCACTGTCACTTCAAGACTGCCTGAATTTTTATTTTATTTTTTTTTTTTTGAGAGCTTTAATGAAAGCAGGCATTCATTTAGAGAGTTTCAGCCAGAGGCAACTAGCTCTTTTCCATAGTGAAGGGAGTGTAGAGATTTTGACCACTCCCATTTACAAAGCACACGCAAGACTCTTGCATCACTGCTGAACTGCTACAAGATGAAAGCTGGCATTAGATTTGGGTAGGGCTGTTTGTGACAGTGAATACAAGAGTGCCAAATCCTGGTCTCAGTGCAAATGAGTTAGATGAGAACTTACCTCATTTTTCTAATATAGGTGGAGTGTGACCTGCAGAAGAGAGCAGCTCTTCTATACGCTGCTCGATAAATCGCAGCCATAATCAGCACCTCTGGGAAGCTGTTTCTGTCTGAAAAGAGAAGCACAGAACATAACGCAGCAGCCTTGAAAACATAAGTTTGATTTAAAAGGTGCAATAACCCAATGCTACATGCTTACAGAACCTACAGAACGTTGGCATTTGCTTTCTAAAATAAGTGTGCACAGAAGGTCTTAAAGTGTTACAAGATGAGGTTAAATACTTCTCTCTGAACTCCTGTACCAGTGGGATAAGGAACAGTGAGAGTGGCTGCTTTCTTGTTTGTTTCCTACGCAGTTGTAATGGCCTCCATCCAACTGAACATCCTATTGCAGCAAGCAGCAGATCTGTGGGAAAGGCATTGATGCCAGAAGGGAATGAAAGACAAAATATCGGTGGCAGAAGAGAATTCCCAGAGCTTGATGAGAGGCAGCAGTTGCAGCTGAACTGGATCATCTCCAGCTGAGAATGGCTTTTGTGCCAAAGGATCCTACTACATTGTCAGCTCAGGCAGTCACAGACTGCCGCCTGAACTCAGCTTCAGAAAACAGCTATCTCAGGCATTCATCTGAAACAAAAATGAGCTGTGATTCACAATCCTCAGCAATTATCTTGAGTATTTCACTTTCCAACCACAGATCTCAAAGCTCTCTAAGGAGGAAGTTGCATTTCTTTAATCCTACAGGCTGGGATGTGTAAGCTGCACCAAGGAAGAGGTGGTGAGTCCTTCCTCTGAGGAAGGCTGGTGACGGCTCCTGAGCCAGGTGGTGCCTGAGCAGAGGCTCCTCTCCTTGCAGGCAGGCAGCCTCTGCTCAATGCTACGGAGGTGTCATGGTGGCTCCTGACATCTCTGCCCACCCTGTGGGAGGTGGACTGAGATCAGCCACTCTGCAAACGCATTGCCCACTTACTGCACTCGGAGCAGAAGGCGTGCTGTCTGCAGCAGCAGGAAACAGCTCTGGAAGGCCACCGTTGTCCTCAGCTGGAAGTACAGCTCCTCCAGCAAGCAGAGCGAACAGCAGCTGTCTGACCACACTGAGTCGCTCTTCCCCCAGCAGGAGCTCTGGGAAATGTAGTTCGGAAACCCTTGGCTCAGTTGGGTGGCTGACAGGATCTGCTCCGGCTTTCCGTCAGCTCCTGCAGCTGTGGAGCTGCTCTCCCTGTGTGCCTCTTTCTGCCAGAATTCCATATACTGTAATTTGCCAAGCAGGAGCTATTATGGGAACAATGCTACTGCAATAAGTTGAGCTGTTCTGAAAGTATTAGTTCCCCTTTGTTTAGTTTCTTTTTATCTTTGCAAGTTTCTCTGTTTTCTGTGTCAGTAGCATAAGGGCAGTGTTTGAAGTTAAGGACTGTGTGTTCCCAAAGAGGAAAATATGCCAACAACTGAACGCATCTGAAGAATGGAGCTGCTGAGTGTTCTAACACCCAGACCTGCAGCTGAGTTTGCAGTGGCTCTGATTGGAAAGTGCCCTTTGCCAGGGCAGATGACAGAGTAACAACATGTTTTGTTTTATGCCTTCATAGCTGAATACATTTCTTTGGTACTGAAAATGTTACCCTGGGCTGGAACCTATCTGCCTATATTGAAGATAAAGGGAATTTTATCAGCATGTAAATGTTTTCAGCACCTTTAGCTGTTTGGTGTGATTTCCTAATTGAGAAGTTGTCATGTAACTAGAGAGCATTGCTTGTAAAACATACTAAGTAGAGTAGGAAGGAAAAGAATAAGTAGAATACGTAGGGAAATGCCACTCTGGTATTTCTTTTCTCATTGCTTAAGTGTTTAGGTGTAATTGTTATTTGTGAGACTGCTCTGCTTCAGGAAACAGTCTTATTAACCTACAATGCTAATTGGATTAATGGACAAAACATCTTCCCTTAATAAGATAGAGCACTGAAGTGTAATCTCCAGTGTAAACTTGCCCTGCAGTTAAAACAAGCCAGTAGATCTGCTGAGCTGAAAACAGTTGTGGTAGTAATCTTGCTAGTTCTTGCTCTTCTGTCTTGCCAGCTGTTCCCAACAAGGGGACATGAGCTGGGACTGCCATCAGCTGCTAACTGCTTCCAATGCATCCAGCTAGCAAGCTCATGCTGAAAATGTGTGGTTGCACCACAAGGAACCTCTTGCTAAAAAATGTTTCTTTCCTTGGAAAAGGCTGGGGTAAGACAAACCACTTCTTTAAACAGAAAGTTAATGAGTAGTCTTCCCGTCTGTCATTATGCTGTAGATACAAAGTAACCCATAACTGATGAGGCTGCCCAGAGAGGCAGGTGGTGCCCCGGCCCTGCAGCTACTCAAGGTCAGGCTCGAGGGGGCTCCGAGGTCCTCGTGGAGCAGTGATTGACCCTGTTCATTACAGGGGAGCTGGACCAGATGGCCTTTAAGGGACTGTTCCAACTGCAAGGATTCGATAAAGGCTTGGCTTCATTTTATCACGGCTTCATTTTGTCAGCAGCCTCATCTTCGGTACTGACGCTCCTAGTTAATAAACAGGGGGGTCACGTCAGCCTGAGGAAGTCCCGTTAAAAATTAAAAAGTTAAAGGTTAGGAAGCTAAAGCGGCACTCTGGTTTAAGGACGAAGTTTGCCACATCTCCGAAGCTGCTGCTCTACCTCTGCCCACGTGTCCCGGCCTGAGGACTTTCAACCCGGAGGCCGGCGGACCGCTCCCCACTTCCTGCCGGCTGTAGGAGCTCTATTTCTGTTGGAAGTCGACCAAGGCGAGAGGAAGGGAGGCTTATTTCTGAGGGATGGTTCAGCTGGAACCCGGCTCTCTTTCCGCTGCGGCACGGCACCGGCAGCGCGCGCCGCAGCCACACGGGGACCGTCGGCGACCGCGCTCTTCCCGGAGGAGATCGAGGTGGCCGCGCGACGCGGACCCCCGGGCTGCGCCCCGCGCCCACGTGGAGCAGCGCCGGCGGCGGCGCCTGCGCACCAGGGCGGCCGCCGCTGTGACCGAGCTCACGTAGCGCGCCGGCCGCCGCCCGCGCCCCGCCCCCGCCGCGCGCGGCCCGGGAAGGCGTGGCCTGCGCGCCTATTAAAGCCGCGGCGGGCGGCACCGCGCGCGCGGAGCGTGACGGCGGCGGGCGGCTCGTGGGGCTCCGTCTGTGGCGCGCGGCCCGCCCGCTCTCTCAGGTGAGGCCCGGCCGCGCCGCCTCTCTTACCGGGACGGGACGGGCTCCGCGGGGGGTGGGGGCGATACGTGGCAGGCGCCGCGCCGCCGGTTCCCGGCCCTGCCGGCCGTTACGTAACGGGGGGGCGGGAGCGCGGCGCCGGGCTGGGACCAGGCCCGCGCCGCTGCCGGGGCGCTGCGCCGGGCGGAGCCTCTCCGCGGGGCCGGGGCTGCGGGCGGCGAGGCTGAGAGGCGGCGCCGCTTGGCGATCTCTGCGCCGTGCCGAGCGGAGCCTCTGCGCCGTGCGCGGGGCGTGCGGGAACGCGTCGAAACGAGACCGAGTTTGTAGGAGGACTCTGTCGGGCGCGGAGATCGCCGATAAAGCCCGTGTCGGCGCGGTGTCTTCGCTGTCACTCGCTCTGCGTGTTTCTGGGCGCCTTCTTCCAGGAACATCAGGCAGAGTTGCTGCTCCCCTTGAGAAGAAGGGGCTTTTTGCCTGCGCGGGTGCCCATTCAGCAGGAAGGAGCTCCCGCTGTTACTGCTTTCCAGCTGTTGATCGCTGGGATTTTCGTTGTGAGCGTTCTTAATTCTAAAAACATCTCTGCAGATATTGTGCTGAGGCGTGAATAGGAGGATAGCCTTCTGCTTGTTGTGTCTAATAAGATAAGCGCTCTGCTGCGTTGCCAGAGCTCTTTGTCTTGGCTTGGAAAGCTAAAACAAACGTGCTTTGAGAGGGCTGTCTCCATTCAGTCCTGCTATGCCAGAAACCTACTGGAAACGTGCTTCCATCCCCGGGTTACACACTTGTGTGTGGACTTCCCTGCTCTACAGGATTGAAACTTCAAGCACGCTGCTGATGTTGGCTCTGGAATTCATTCTCATCTCTCACAGGCAAACAGCTTCTGTTGTGCAGGAGTTGGAAGACGAACTTAAGTTCTTAGAGGTGTAGGATCTGCTGCTTTTGATTCTTTTCAAATAGAAGTAGGGACACACAGTGCTTTATGTGCACTGCAAGCCAGCAGAACAGGCAGAAATTTCAGGAGATCAGCGGAAGGCCTTTTGAAAGTGGCACTTGGTGCCTAAGAACTTTGGGAAAGTTCTTTCATTTTGGGTAAGGATTCCAGTCACGAGTCTCAGGCTGCAGCCCTGTTTGGAGAGGGAGCCTTGCTGCAGGGGGCAGCTGCCACTGCTTGTGCTGCTCTTCTCTGCCCTCAAACACTGCTCACTTTGACTCTCTTAGTTAAAGTAGATTGCTTGCTACCTTAATTTAAAAAAATGTTATTTAGGGATTAAGTTAGAGCCGTTCCAGAATAATTCCACACTGAACTCAGTGCTCAGTTTCCATTTCCTGTCAACAGTTTCTTGCTTTCTGGATCCTGGTGGGCACCAGGGAGCTTAGGATGGATGGTGAGAACTGCTGTGTAATAGTATTGTTCGCCGAACGCTTTGGTCTTCAGCCACCATCTGTCTTGATTTGGCTGCTCTGAGGCTTTTTCATCGTGTACTTGGTCTTAGTTTTGCTTTTCCTTCTGCTTGCATGGGTGCTGTGTGCATATCCTCTCTGATACGACCCTGACAACTCTATAAAACTCATCAGAAAAACCCATCTTGGAGGTCCATCATTAGAAATGGCATTTGTTGCTTGTCCCTACTGTTAGGGGAGTTCCATATCACACTCGGCAGTATCGCTGCTCTGCTTTACTGGTATCTTCACGCTTGGTTGTTCCTTGCTTTATTTTCCCCAATCATTTTTTTCCCACTCTGTCACGTCTCGCAGTTTCGAAGCTAAGCAAACATACATCTTGCAGAAAGTTGGGGAACTCTCGTGTTGAAGCTGTCAGCCTCACTCCCACTGGAATCGTTTGCTCTGTATGTGGGCAGCAGGCTCCCTCCTCTCTGAGATGCTCATGTGCCATGTTGGTGTGTTCCAGAGCGACGCAGCTGCAGAGGAGAGCCAGACTGATGGCAGTAACAGAGCAATTTCATATCGGTTTACTGTATGTCTCTGACAGGAAGAAATTAAGCCTGCCTATTTGGCAGTTCATGCGTGTAAGGGATTTCCAGCACCTTTCCTAACTGAGCCTTGTTTTCTTTGATTTGGGAATGTGTAGTGATCCTCTAGGAGAAGTTTTGAAAGTCGTGCTACTTAGCAACTGCTGTTAAGGCAGTGAAAGCTGCACGGCTGGCTGCTGCCCTGGGCTCTGCTTCCAGCTCAGAATTCTGGCTGGGAGGGAAGTCATCTTGGGTGGCTGCACACTGCTGCAGGACCTGAGCCCTTGTGAAAGGCAGGAGAGCTGGAGACTGTGAAGAACAAATGAAATTGTAGGTGACCTCTGGATGTCATCCAGCTGAGCCCTCTGTTTGGAGCCGGTTGAGCTTGGAGCTTGGGTTGGGCTGCACGTGGGTTTGCCCTATTTCAAAGTTCTTCAAGAATGGGAAATGAGGTTTCTTTGGGAGCCTCTTCTGTGCCCAACTTGTCACTGTGACAAACGTTTCTCTTTGTACCTACACAGAGTTTCCCTTGTTGCAATTTGTGACTTGCCACCAGTTCCTTCAGTGTGCTGGGGAAGCTAGCAGCAGGTAAACAAACAGCCAGTAAACAAACAGCTCAGTGAATTCTGAGTACTGATAATGTGAGCAAATATTTATCGTGCAGTAAAACTGTTTGTGCTTGGTGGTTGATTCACAGATGTGTTGGCTTGGCCGCTGAGTGAGCTGGAGGCACCCAGCTTTCTGCAGAGCAAAGTGGGAGCTGAAAGGTGTGTTTGGACACAGCTTTTTTAAGGGAAGAGCAGCAAAATAATTGTCTTTGAGAGTAATGGATGTACTACAGATGTAACTTGTTAACTTAAGCAATTACTCAATTGGAGCTGTCCTTAATGGGGCTAATATCAGCCGCAGGATCTCATACAGTTGTTATCAGTATCTTTGGGTTACCTTGAAAACTAGGTAAGCTGGCTTTCCTATTTCAGGCTGGCTGGAGAGTTGGGTTTCTGCTCATCGCATTTTGAGCTGCAGTTCCACAAACGCGTTGAACCTGTGCTGCTACCAGAAACAACACTGCCTGACGTTATTGTCTTTGGCTGCCAGTTGTGCCTCCCAGCTGCTCTCTCTTGGATGTTGTGCGGCTATATAGTGAACAGAAGGAGCTGAGCCAGGGTGAAGGAAGGGAGCTACAGGGTTGTTTTGTTTTAGATGAATTGGTTTTGGAATAGTTGGATTTAGCTTGATGCCTGGCTGCCCATGGTGGGGACAAGCAGGTGAGGAGGAGGGGAGGAATGCTGCTTTGGAGCATTGGTGGGGCTGAGGGCTCTGACTTGGAGTGGGCAGAAAGCAGGCCTGCAGCTTTCCCTCTTCGGATTTTACTTTGCAACTCAGTCCAAAGCAAATCCTTTTCTTCCCTAAACGGGCAGAGTGAGCCACTTTGTAATGTGTTGGGTTTTTTTCCCCTCCCTAAATTAATCATTTTGCCTTCGAAAGAGCTGTAAACTATTTCTGTTAGTATCTGCAGTTGTTTTCATTCACCTGAGGAGACAGAATGCCTGAAAGATGAAGCTTTCACATATGGGGAAATAAAAACCCAACATTTTGTGAATTCCAAGACAGCATGATGACATCTAAGATATTCCTTACTTGGGAGAACGAGCTGTCTCATGAGTCGAGTGTGCGGTGAGTAGGGATGTTTCACCTGCTTTGTTTCTTTTGTAGGTACCTGGTGAGGTGACAGCTTTGAGCTACAGCTATGGCATCCAACAAGATGTGGTGCACCGTTGCCCTTGGATTTCTGCTGCCTTTTTCTTTTGCCCATACGGACTTCTTCACCTCAATTGGTGCGCCGTGCTTTGGTGTATATGCTACATAGCTGAAAGAATTTCTTAATGACTATCATACTGATTCTGCAGTGGTGTGTTAATGGAGTGCAAGGCTTTTATTGGTATACAGTTAAATCCACTTACTAGCTCTTAGGACGTGATTGGCTTTTTTCTTGCCTTTGAGAGAAATATCCTTTGAATTCAGTCAGTGCAATCAGTCTGATGAGGCTTTGTTTTGTTATGTATTCCTATGGGTATTGAATTGTAAACACAGTTTTGGTGTGTCTTGATGCATGCTTATAAAGGCAAGCAAAACACCTGTTGGAGGTACAAAATGAAACCAGTATGTCAGCGTGCCTTCTTTTGTGTCCCAGTGCTGTGGGTCGCAGCTGAAGATGAGCCTTGCATCATTTCATGGTGAACTTGTTCTGCTGCCTGCTTGCAGGAAGGAAAACAATTGTTGATTAATAACTAAGGTTGTTTGGGTGCTGTTGGAGTCATGCCACTGAGCTTAAAAATAAGTCTGAGGTATTATTACGTATCACAGATAAAGTCTTTATGTATTTAGCTTTGTCATTATTTGTTCTGTATTATGTATGTTTGGATGAAAGCTTACTCTGTTCCAACTTATTTCCTTTTCCAAATGAATCCTGAATTAGTTCTAATAATAAATATGTGATCTTATGTTAATTTCCATGGCAACGAGCTTTGTCCAGCATGAGATTTTCTTCCTCAAAAAAAGAAAAGGCAAAAAGCTTTGCTTTAAGTACTCCTTCCAGTTTAGCTAGCAGGATGTGGGAGCATTTTGGGGAAGGAAAAGGAAGAATACAGAAGAGAAAAAGACTCTTCTGTTTTCAGTTTCTTGTTTGTTTTTGTTTCTCCTTGTTTAACCAAACTGTTCAACTTTTTTTTTCTAGGCCATATGACAGACTTAATTAACACAGAGAAAGATCTGGTGATATCACTGAAAGATTACATCAAGGCAGAAGAAAGCAAGCTGGAACAGATCAAAAAGTAAGCAGCTTGTTTGATGACGCTGATAGCTAATAATTTGAGTCCAGCCTTATCTAAAAAATGCCTCCCAAGGTTCATTACACCTGAGGAATTTTGCCTCTGAGGCAAAGATTAAGCTAGAAGCTATTACCGGGGTTTTGTCCCCAGTAATGACTTCTAGTTTTGTTTTATTATCTCCAAGCAGATTGAACAACCAAAATTTGTAAATATGGCTAATCAGATAGGTGTCATAGCTTTGTTTTTGCTATATTGGAGGTGACAGCTGTTGGGAAAAAGTTGGAATAACTGACAGAGAGAGAAGAAGGTGGGAGGAACGCCTGTATCTTTAGGGTTTGTTGGGCTCTGTACTCAAAGATATTGGTAGCTTGCTTTGACTTAATCTGAATGAAAGCTGGTGACTCACTGGAGCGGGGAGGATGGCTCACACCTTGTGTGGCTTCTCAAGGTTTTTATGGGAAATACTTGGCAGAAATCTTGAATTGTTATTGTGGCTGATAATGGCAGTGACTCTCACCTAGTCCTGAAGTTAGATAGCCATCAAATGGGAAATGTGCAATGGGTTTGTGCACGTGCATTGTAAATGTACAAGTTGCTGACACAAGTTTCTTCAGGCTTGCTTCAGGTCAGTCCTCCTGTGTTGCTAGGAGTTGGTCCATAGGAGCAAGTGGAGCACACCATTTGCTTGGGAGCCCTGTCAGTCACTTTGCTGCTGACAGAACCACTGTTGGGGGCTGTCAGAGCATAGGAAAACATCTCAAGACAGTATGGAAAGAAGGAAAGCACAGTATGGCACATTAGCAGATGTCTCAGACATGCTGAATTTTGGAGCGTGCTGAATGCCAGTTCTCGCAGAATCCTCTGCAGCTTCACGTTTTCTATTTGTTTTTCTTTTTGTGGTTGATATTTGGTATTCTCTGTGGGTTGCGGCCCCTTCTAACTAATGAACAGGATTTATCCTGTTATCAGGTTGTTGTTGCATGCCTTCACTTCAACAAATGCATGGTTTGGTTCAGGGAGGGGAAGCTGTGTTGTCTGCAGATGCACAGTAGCACAGTGCTGGTGCTTTCAGCGTGGCTGATGTGCCTGCTGGAGTGAACTCCCTCGCTGTTTCCGCTGGAGTGACAGGCAGATGAACAATAGTAGTTGCTGTGTATTTCAGAGCATGTTGGATCTGTGAACAGATGATGTCACTGAGGAGCGAGGGAGGTTGGCAGAGTCAGAATTACAGCCCCAGAAAGTTGATCTGGGCTCTCATTTGGGAACCTAAGAGCCATGTGGTTTTTTTTTAGTGCAAGCCTATGATACGGAAGGCAGTCTTGTGGTGGGGAAGGAATGGACTTGTTATAGATCTAGGCGTGTGTGTCTAGGAAAGAAGGTGAATAAAGCCTTGTTCTTGATTAGTTGTGCACGAAAGCTGCTGGTGTACTGCATTGGCATGGTAGGAAGGAGTTCGTTCAACAGTGTCTCAACAAAGGAAAACAGAAAAACCCCACAAGTTTGAGATTTTGGCTGCAGCCAAAGATGATTTAAAAAAAAAAACAACAAAAACCTTTTTGCTTTTCGTTCATTCCAGAAGTGCTTTATATATAGAAAAAAGTTTGCAATTTGTATTGAGATTTTTATTGTCTCAGTCTGTTGAGAAGTTTGAAATCAGTTTTATGACTTTTACAAGAAACTTTAGTGACTGTGTGTCTTCACTCTAGATGGGCAGAGAAATTGGATAAGTTGACAGATACTGCTACGAAAGACCCCGAAGGTTTTTTGGGACATCCTGTAAATGCATTCAAGCTGATGAAACGGCTTAACACAGAGTGGGGCGAACTGGAGAGCCTGGTTCTGAAGGACATGTCGGATGGTAAGTATGCCAGTAGCAAAAGCAGTGATCAGATCACATTATGATTGTACTTCTTGACTGTCTTTCACAGGTAGTGCTTTGAATTAGGTTTGTAAGTCTGCTTTTGAGATGCTATCATAAAAAAGTATTTCGCAGAAGGCCCACTGTCATGATGCCAGCATGCTATTACTGGAGTTTTACACAAATTTTAGAAAAACTGATGTTTAACCAGAGGCACCTCTTTGGAGGCTTTAAATTGTGCAAGGTGCCAGGGTCAGTCTTCATGTACTCACCTGTATTTCACGACACTGCGTCTGAAAGTTTGAAAGCGCCACTGAAAAGAAAAAAAGGGGAAAATACCTCTTCAGAATGCAAAATGTGGAGAACTTGTCTTTGAGTGCTGTCACTACTGAGGTGCTCAGTGCCCTTAAGGCACAGTGGTGTGAAACCTGAATGCTGGCAGAGTCCGAGCGTTTGTGAAAGAGATCTGAAGGAGTTCAGTAAATGATTGGCTGCCTTGCTTCCTGTACCAGAGTAGAAACTCTTCAGTAGAGAAATGGACCTACCAGTTGACTGTGAAATAGATTTTGAGTAAAAAGGAAGCTGGGCTGATTATATTTGACCTGTGGAAACCTATCTCAACAAGTAGTTGATGTTAGGCGTAGGTTTGTAGTAGAAAATGACAAGGAGAGCTGTCAGAAAAGACCCAGTGTTGGACACTGGTAAGAAGAACCGTCTCATTGGCCCTGTACTTGGAGTGGGAACATTGTAGGACTTGTGCTTTGGGATGCTGAGACAAAAGAGTTTGGTAGAAAAGTTACTTTCTGACAAGTCAGTGGCTGTTTGCTTGTTGAGACTTGGGTCCTCATGGCTGACTTTGCTGATGCCATTCCTTCTGGCGGCTCTGTGGAATTCTGTTCCCCTCCTCAGTACAAACAGCCTGTGAGTCTCCTGACTGCAGAAGCAGAAGGGGAAAAATGGGCAGTCCTCCCACTGAATAGAAGATTACAGCAGCAGTTTGGTGCTCAACACAGGGCTCAAAGGGTTGAGATAACAGCAGATTTGTCTGGAGTGTATTAACACAGGGTGCTGCAGTAGTTTGATAATTACTGGTCACAATGTTATTTTTTTCCCTACTTGTGGAGCTCTTTGAGAGACTTCTCATGGAACTATATTGTATAGCACCTTGCTGCTTATTTTCCCTGTTGTTTGTCATCTCTGGGGGTCGGATGAAGGTTTTTATTTTGCTGTGCTGTGTGTGGCCTTGGTTTATATTATGATAAAATAGGCAGCTGAAAAACTGCTGTTTTGTATGCATTTGGCATTGCAGTCATCCTTGGGCTTTGGAACCCATATTGTTGATACTGTCAGTAATTACACCCTGCTTTGTCTCCTTGGGGAGCCTGGCTTTGGAGGAGATATGGAAGACGCTTTCCAGCAATTCTTCAGCATCCTGTTCTCTTTTCCTTCTCTCCCTAGAGCTCAAGAGCTAGTTGCAACAGCTCTTGAGAATTTTAAATATCCGTGGGATGTTCAGGCCAGCGTGCTCCTACTGCTATGTGCCGTGAATGCGTTTCAGGTTATGTTTAAGATTAAACAACTGCTGTAGAGTATCACACAGAGATCTGCCCTAGGGCAGGACAGATCTGAGTGGCAGGGAGGGTGGGCTGGTATGGGCAGGTGCCCAGAGTGGTGGGCATCCTCAGTATTTGGAACTTTACCTCCGAACAGTTGTATAATCCTGAAAACAACAGTAGAACATTTGGAAAAGGTTTGCTGTCACCCTGGTGATCCTGAAGAGGCGCAGATCACTGCAGCGTGCTGGGGCCTGGCCTATGCCATGTGTTGTATGTAGCATTATTTTTTTTTATTTTTTGCTATGTTACGGCATAAATAGTTTCTGAGTGAAGCCTCAGGTGTACTCCTTTTGAAACAAATCTGCAGTAATGGCCTTTCCTGATACGTTGGCTTTCCCTGGAACGGGGAGTCATTCATTTAATGCAGTGAGTTGGTACAGTTCTTGTGACAAAGAAGGCCAAGTGTTTTCCTCTTCTTCCAGGCTTCATCTCCAACATGACGATCCAGCGGCAGTTTTTTCCGAACGATGAAGATCAGACTGGTGCAGCAAAAGCCCTCTTGCGGCTTCAAGACACGTACAATTTGGATACAGACACCCTCTCAAGAGGGAATCTTCCAGGTAAGGGTCACAGGTGTTATCTGCAGCAACGCTGGGATAAATGTCTAGATTACAAATGTCCAGATTACACATCTTTTCACAATCTTCCACCTTGTTTAACTGTGTTGTGTGAAGGTATCTGTACCAGTCTCCTCGTACTAGAGCTTGAACATTCCCTTTTAGTTAAGTCATGTGTCTTTCTTCTGGTGGCGATAAGATAATATAGTGTTAATAGGTTTTAATAAAAAGAATCAATATGCTGCAATCAGTATTTTCCTTGTGGTGAAAAAGTCGTATTTGAACTTGGGCTTCTGCTTCATGGGGTGTATAAACTGAAAAAACAAAGGGAGAGAACCATTATCACATGCACACAAAAGAACGTGAGCTTGTGTGGCACTATGCAAGAGGAGCAGGTTTATATGCAGGAGACATGCTTCTTTGTCAGAAGGCTCTTCTCTGCTAGTTTTTTGTCTTGTTTCCTCTGCTCAAAGCCAGTACTGTGCCAGCTGGCAAAAAATCAACTTTGCACAATCCGTCTGTGTTTTTGGAAGTGCTCATTGTGGTCAGATGTCTAATAAAATTAAGGGTGATTGGCTTTATGTGTTATGCTGTATAGCCTTGCTTTTGGGTTTCACTCAAGACTGTCTCAGAGAGCTGCAGATTCATTCTACTACAGTAAGCTGTTTGTTATTCTTGTCCTAAAACAGCACAGGAATAGAAGACAAAGTGCTTTGGATGGACTGCATTTTATTGCTTCTTTTGAAGCAATAAGCTGTCCAGACTGTGCATGATCAAGTGTTACTGCAGAACCCAAAAGCCCTAGAGTATAAAAGAGAATAAGTTGTTTTTTTGGCCTTCAGAGCCAAAAAAGGAGAGGAACGTGCCACGTGCTCACTTGTTTGTGCACTTTGTCTCCTTTCCCAGGGAGTTTCCATTTGTGAGGTGGGCAAGTTTTGGTCAGAAATGCTTTTGTGTTGCTTGTTGATTCTCTTCTTGCCTCACAGGCTGTGCTGTTTCTTTACACTGGTTAACAGCCATATTTGATGATTGCTGTTTTAAGCACTCTTTTAAGTTGCCCTTTCACATTTGGATGTTATGTTGCTCCTAAATGTACCAGAGCACGGCTCTGCAAGCTGTTACTCCTTACAGAGGACCTCTTTGTGCCTGAGAGCGCTCAGCCCACCTCCGTACTGCGTCCCCTAAGCTTTGCTCTGCCTTAGAGCTTTCAGGTGGCTTCATGTTCAGAAGCCTGAAATCATTGGCCATCCCAGGCCAGCACCCACGGGGTGTTAGTATGTGCAGGATATTCCTTCTTGTGGACCGTCTCTTCAATTCTTCGATTTCTTAAGGCATGTCTTCAATGGAATTCCCCTGTTGCAATGCAGCAGTGAGAGCTGCTGGGAGAAATCCAGGATGTGCTGAGATGTAATCAGGAATTTAGTCTAGCTGTAAAGCTGACGAGTCCTGGGCAAGAAGAAAAGCTTCAATCTGTGTCTTAGTTTCCTTTTTTACTTTATCTCAAATGCTCTCTTACCACAAAAAGAAATGTGGTTTTTCCATGGGTCTTCATTTACAGTGGCAAAAATAGGAATCTGTCATTTACTTACTATTGCTTTCCTCTTCCAGAGGTCCCTTCAGATATTTCTAAAATAGACTGATTTCAGAAATCTCAAGTAGCTGGGAATTCACGGGCATTTTCTTTTTGTCCTTTGCTAAGCTGTTGCTGACACAAGGTGTGCTTCAGTAACATTTTGAAGAAATAATACAGTATCTTTGAAAACAGATTTCTGGAGCTTGTTCCTTAGCTTACTTTTGCTCAAAGAGTCCTGTGTTTTGAGGAAGGAGGGTTTATTTTCTTTTCCACAAATTGTAGAGGCACTTAGCTAGTTTCTGGTATTCTGGCAATGGCAAACTGCACGTAACCATTTCTGTCTTCTGCTAAAGGTTTGCAGGTTTTAAACACTTAAACTGCATGTTCAACAAATAGCCACTGCAGTGTGGGAGATGTTAAAGACCACAACAGCAACAGAAATAAATGGTGCTCTGAAGAACAGGAAGTAGCTGAATGTGGCTCTGAGGAGTGATCCAGTACAGTGTTGTGTGTAAAATCTTTGTTTTGTTTTGTTTCAAATACAGGGGTAAAGCACAAATCCTTTTTAACAGCTGAAGATTGCTTTGAGCTGGGAAAGATTGCGTACACAGAGGCTGATTACTACCACACTGAGCTCTGGATGGAGCAAGCTCTGAAACAGCTGGATGAGGGAGAAGTGTCTTCTGCAGATAAAGTCTATATTCTGGACTACCTGAGTTATGCTGTGTATCAGCAGGGGGATCTGAGCAAAGCAATGATGCTCACCAAGCGCCTTCTCGAACTGGGTACGGCAGGAGAGAGCTGAGGCTCAGCAAGATGTAGCCCTGTGGTTGTGCAGGTGTCACCCAGGGATTTGTTCTGAGAACTCTTGGTCTTACTGATTTCTTGCCTTGTCTACAGGCTTTTTAAAATGAAATACCAAAACAATTTGTGCTTCTGTAAATATCCCTCTGATGGACTGTGTGAAGAACATAAACATAATCTGTATATCGAAGGCCAGTGAGAAGCACTAATTAGTGAACTGAAGCTTAAGTGTTTTTTTAGGGTTAATGATTGCCAAAACCTTGGTCACCAGAAATATTAATTCCCAAGCTGTTAAGCTTGAAGCCAGTCATGCTATTCCAGCCCTGCCTGCCCGTTGCGATTTCCTCGTCCCTCCTGCTCTGCTTGGGTTGGGTGGCCAAACCCTGCTTATTGTGCTTGGAAACCTGCATGTACTGCGGATCCTGGCCTCACAGTAATTATTTTCTTAAGTGTGAATGAATTGAGCTTTGCTTTGATAGGTCATGTTCTTTGTTACTGGGTGTGCTGCAGACTAGCATTCTTCCATCCTAGTTTGGAGTTTCAGTTATCCCATGAATACTCTCAGACCAGAATAGATGTTTCTGATTTCTGTTTGAGGAGCATCTGTTGCTTTTGTTTTTGTATATTGTCTCTTCTGAATACTTCTTTTGCCGGTGATAACTGTCTCTTTTTCAACAGATCCTGAGCATCAAAGAGCAAACGGAAACATGAAGTATTTTGAATATATCATGGCCAAAGAAAAGGAAGCCAATAAGTCCAGTACAGATGCAGAAGACCAGACAGAGAAGGAAACTGAGTTTAAGAAAAAGGATTACCTGCCTGAGCGAAGGAAGTACGAAATGCTGTGCCGTGGGGAGGGTCTCAAAATGGTAAAGTGGAATAGACTGTTCTGAAATGTATGAAACCAACTGTAACAAAACAATGTCCAGAATCTGTGTGTGGCGTGGAAGCGAGGAACTGTTACAGCAGGTGGCTTTGTGTGTCAAGCTGAGGGTTGGTGTGTGTGGTGGAGTTATTCCGTGTTCCATTCTGTCCAATAGGAAAAGAATATTACTGCTGACTAGCTTGGACACGCTAAGTAATTGTACTGAACTGGTGTTTCTTTAGTGACAAATTTGTTTTTAGTAGGACTGTGTAAAATACTGCTTGTTGCAGTATTACAGAGTAACGTTAATTTGCTTAAAGGACTGACAAGCTTAACCCATAGTTCTCACTGAGACTAATCTTGGAATTCTGCAAAATCACAGCCAAAAGGGGATAAAATGGGCAAATCTGTACTGATATTGACGTGGGGTGAAATTATGTGAATATTTCCACCAGATCCAGCTGACAAGGAATGTAGGCCAGGCATATTTGCCATGCCAGTTGGGATGTATGTATGTATGTATGTATGCATATATGTAAACTGGCCAGCTGGGCCTGATTTGCCAACTGTATCCTCGGCTGCATCCAAAGCAGTGCAGCCAGCAGGGCGAGGGAGGGGATCTGCCCCTCTGCTGTGCACTGTGAGACCTCACCTGTAGTGCTGCATCCAGATGGGGAGTCCTCAGTACAGGAGAGACATGGAACTGTTGGGGTGTGTTCACAAAAATGATCCAAGGGATGGAAGACCTCCCTGCAAGGACAGGCTGAGAGCTGGGGCTGTGCAGCCTGAAGAAGGGAAGGCTCATAGCAGCCTGTCAGTATCAAAAAGGGCCATAAGAAAGAAGAGGACAGACAGTTTAGCAGGGTCTGCTGTGATAGGACAAGGGGAAATGATTTCAAACCAGAAGAGGGGAGATTTACAGAGGATATAAGGAAGAAATATATTACAATAAGGGTGGTGAGGCACTGGCACAGGCTGCCTAGAGAGGTGGTGGTGCCCCAGCCCTGGAGACAGCCAAAGTCAGGCTGGGCAGGGCTCTAAGCTCCTGATGGAGCTGTGGGTGTCCTCCTGTTCATTGCAGGGGGGGTTGGACCAGATGGCCTTTAAAGGTCTCTTCCAAATAAAATGATTCAATTATTCTATTGACAAACTTAAAGCATCTCTTAAAGGGAATTGTTCCTGTCTGTTGTTTTCAGGACATCTTTATGTTTCTTAGAGATGCTAATGGAAGCTCTCTGATTATCTCATTCCACCTTGATTTCAGACTCCTCGGAGACAAAAAAGACTGTTCTGCCGCTACTACGATGGAAACAGGAATCCTAGATACATTCTGGGCCCTGTCAAACAGGAAGATGAGTGGGACAAGCCTCGAATTGTTCGCTTTCTTGATATCATTTCTGATGAAGAGATTGAAACTGTGAAAGAACTAGCAAAGCCAAGGGTAAATGCCTTACACTTCCTTGCCTTTTGGAATCGTAAATCCACGTGTGGCTTTCTATGTGAGTGTGTGTGACTGTCTCTCTTGACCACGGATTTGTGTGCACTGTGCTCACGTGTTGCTTCTCTCACTTACAGCTTGTGGTGACACTCTTTCTAGGAGACGAGGGGGAAGCTGGAATTCCTGTGTAATTAAAAGCCAGGTGGCAACAGTTAGGCTCTTCTGGCAGACAGTTGCAGTGCATGTTGTTTCAGAAGAGGAGGAGAGCATTATATGACAGAAAACAAACATACTGCAGCTAGGCTGCCTTGAAGTATACTTATCAGATAGGCTCTCCCTCTTTTGTTGATTTGCCACAATTATGACATGGATAAGAGAGCCTTCTAGGGAAAAGCATTCCTCTGGTTTGGAGTGCCACTTTACTCTATAGACAGTAATGAATGGCCCATTCAGTATAGAAATATAAAAATGACTTCTGTCTCCCAGGCTCTGAAGTTACCTGCAAATAAAAGAGCTACAGCAGGGCAAGACTTATCAGTGCTGCTATGCTGCTTATTCAGAATTCCAGCTCTTCAAATTCTGTTTCAGAAACTGGATTCCAAGGTTCTTGTTTCTGAGGGCCTGGTTCCAAGCCAAATCAGCTGTCAGAGTGAACAGGAGTGTCCAAGATAAACAAAGAACTGACTGAGTTGCCATCTGAATCCAGCTGGTGTGACTGCATCGTGTGCATTCAAGATGTAGATATAAGGAAATAACTCAATTTCTCCAAGTTATCAGTTATTTCTAAAATAAGATTTGAAGTTGTCTAAGTATAATTTTCCTGCTTCCTTTCTCCAGCCTGAACGGCTGATTGTCCAGAGAAAGCTGAGCAAATGAAGATTAGGGAAGAAATTCATTAAGTACAGGACACTTAGCTTCATCTGCTGCAAAGTAAGCTAGCGGTGCCTTAAATCTGAACACGTGGCAGGTGAGGCTGCCCTTGGCCACCACACTGGATATTAGGTAGCCTGAAGTGGACTTTAAAGCTTCCTAAAAGCTGATGTGTTGTGTTTCTGAGGTGACACTCAGAGCTATATGGAGGTACGAGTGATTCTTTTCACTTGCCCATAAAACATTTGCCAGCAGCCTTGCTGCAGGTCGAAAGGTTGAAGGCCAGTTGTTTGCCTCTTGGTGATTAAGCCCCTTTGCTGCTGCAGAACCTGGCATTATAGCTGTGAAGTATGACTTGATATCTTGATGATGTAGAAATAAGTCTTAGCACGGAAAATAGGAGCCTGAATGGATCTCTGAACACGTGGCTATTTTAAACTTCAAGAGCTGCCAAGATGTTCTTCCTGTCAAATGTTTGGCTCATGTCAAAGACTGCAGATTTGCAGTTCAGTGATGTAGAATCTTAATGCTGTTAGTGTTCCATGTAATTCCTGTGGCCAAGGCTTTGTAGAGCTCAGAAACCAATGCAGCAGGAGCATTATTTTTAAGGCAGAAGCATGGCCTGTCCCCGGCTTGATCCCGGGGATGTTGCTGTCGCTGCCTCCCAGAAGATCCTGCTGTGTGATCTGTGCCCAGCCTTGTGTTGCTCTGCCATGAGCTGGCTGGAGGGAGGCTTAGCATCCAGCTTTGGGACTCTGTCTGGAGTCAACATCTGTGACTTGATTCTTACATGTGTCTGCGTGGGATGGGATGAGAAGCTGTTTGCTCAGAGTTCCCGGCACCTGTTCTTGTCAGCTGGGATAGGGAGGCTTTGATGAAGTTAGTTTCCTTTAACAAGAGAAAAATGCTACTTGTGTTTGGTGTGGGACTTGGTGTGCCGTGTTGTGCCTAGAGCTCACCAAAATGTGCAACTTCTTCCAAAATGTAAGCTGTGCAACTGAAGCTTTCCATTCTGAACAGTGGAGTGTCTTTGCAGTACAAGGAATCTGAATCGGTGTTACCACAGATGGGACAGTGTCAGGTAAATGGAGTGCAGTAGAGGAAAGGGCAAAGCCTTGAGCTGGGAGTTCACGCTCTGGGAACAAAATGTGAATGTGTCCATGGACAAAGCAAGTAGGTTTTCCTAGCAGTTGCTGTTAAAGAAGTGTGCAGAGTGTTCAGTACAGAAATATTCAGAAGGTGGGCTTCTATTCATCTTTCATGTATACAGTGTCACAGCATTGCTTGGATTCAATGTAACTGTAAAACTCACTGCAGGACAGAGTAACAAAGGACCGATTGTACACCTGTCCCAAAACTGTGTTGCTTGCAGCAGCTGTTGCAGTATGAAGAAAAGGAAAGCTTCCAGCTTGCTTTATTCAGACAGCTGTTGCTCTTGCTCCAGAAGTGCCAACACTGATTCCTGAAAAAGCTGATCTTCTCTACTGCTTTCAAAAAAGTATCTACACGCATATACATTTAAAAACAAGCAGGAAAACCACACACAAATTCTCTCCTCAACTCTCTTTCCAATAAAATGGGAGGGTCCCCCTCCTTCCCATCACAGCTTTACAATTTTCTTTCCTGGTTCCGTAAAAGAAAAACCACCTTGAAAGGTGACTGGGTGGTTTGGGTGGTCTGCATAGAGGCTTGTGTGACATTTCCCCTTAGGCTTCTGAGTGGTCGGATTGCAGTGATGCACTATTTGCTTTGTAATGCAATTGTTCTGATGGTTCGCTTCACAGCTGAGGCGAGCCACCATTTCAAACCCCATAACAGGAGCCTTGGAGACGGCACATTACAGAATTAGCAAAAGGTAAGAGAGCTCTATGCCAGATGTTTTGGGCCTGTAATGAGTACGTAGGTTCTGCTCATTATGGGAAGAAAGGAGGTGGTCTATAAAGACAACTTTGGCTTTGTAGTCCATCACTTTATTATACGCAGATCCTGTAACAGGCTGTTACTGCTGAGTTTCTCAGTCTTTTCCTTCAGCTAGAAGGAGTGTTTGCTTTCTGTTTGTTGTTGGTTTTTTTGGGTTTTTTTGGTCACCTTCTCAATATGTGTTCTCAAGTGATGATCTGTGCCAAAAGCAGGTATCTCATTCAGCATACAAAAACATTTAATGCTGCAAAACTTTCAGTGGATTGCGGTGATTTTAGTACTCTCTTTCTTTTTGCTGTTGTCACCAGCCAAAAATTATCCTCCTTCCCTTTGCAAAATCTAGCATAGCACCTGAAGCCCCTTCACACGTGGGAGAGGTGCTTGAGGTCATTGCCATGTGGTGGCAGCTGAACTGGCACTTGCAGTATGTCTGTTAGTCACACAGCATCAGTGCCCAGGAGTGCCCCTTGCTCCTGCCTGGGCCCTTCTGCCTCCTGCCAGCACAAATCTGGCAGAAAGCAAGCTTGGTTTTTAGCTGGTCTCCTGATTCTTTTCACTTCGTCTATAACGTAGTGCAAGTCTTGTATTTAACAAATGTTTTCCAAAATTTGCTTCAGGAGAAAGCCTGTCTGTTTCTGAAAGGAACTGTGGCCCCAATCTCCCTCCCGCTTTCAGTAGAGGTAGTTAAAGATTGGCCGCGCATTCCATCTGTGTTAAGCCTAAGTTCACAAAGGAGTTAAAATTATGCATGAAGAGGAACTGTCTGTGAAACTCAGCATCATACATTTTTTTGCAGAAAGTCTGTAGTCTACAGCAAAAAAGGAAAGGGAAAAAAAGGAGGAAAAAAGTGAAAGGACAATCTAACCAAATTTTTTCAACGAATTTGTTTTGATTTGGACGTGGCAGCTACAGCTTCTGTTGCCCTTCAAATATTGCTAATTTAAGAGCATTGCATACCATCCAGACCAATCGGAACCCTTTCAAACACCTGTGGCTTGGCAAAAAGCAGCCTGCTAGGTGGGTAAGCCCTTGTCCTTTCTCTTTTTGTAGCTGAGCCGTGCTACTGTTCATGACCCCGAGACTGGGAAACTGACCACAGCACATTACAGAGTCTCTAAGAGGTAAGGGGAACGTCTCCCAAAGGTACTCCAAGTCCAAGGAAGTCTGTTCTGTGGCTGTACTGCTTCATCTCTAAATGGGGGGCAAACTTGGACTAATTTTAATTTTAATTTCAGTCTTTCTAACTGAGCTGTCTCATAACAAAGCAAGCGGCCACCTGAGATAGAAAATACTTCTACGTGTTAGTGGTAACTAAAATGGGGGTTCCCAAGTTTGCTTAGCATGCCTTGCCTGGTGCTGCTAATGACTAAAATGTTCTGCTCACCCTGACAATGGAAGAGGCTGTGTGTCTCTCACCTGTACCACGAATCTTCAGTACTGGTACGTGCTGCGTAAAGCAAGGCATCGCTGTGCTGCTGTGATCCAAGTGAGTAGTGCGAGCCAGAGCTTGTTGGAAAGGAGCGTGAGGAGCTTGTGCTGTTAGTGCTAGCTGGCTGCACTCGCGCAGAGCTGCTGGTAGAAGTGTCCTCCTGCTTTAGGGCTGCTGGAGCTGGTTTGGATTACAGATGAATCATTGCTCCTGAAAACCAAAAAGACTGCTTGCTTTATTTTTTTAATAGCCGACTGCTTTCCCTCATCAAACATTCTTTCCTAGCAAACGCTCTTAGAAATGACAGCATTCATCTGTGAGAGGACTGCTGTTGGTGTGGGACGTGGCAGGCTGTGTGAAAGGGGCACCTTGCCAGCAGGGCGCGGAGCAGGGCAGGCTGTGCTGCGTGCAGCGCCAGCACGGATCTGACACGGCTTTCAAAGGGCTGCTTTTTTCCTCTCCTCCCAGCAGCCACCCGTATCGGGTGGTAAAGTTTCCAATTCAGGAATACCAGGCTGGGCTTTTATTTGTTACTTGTTACCTCTCCAACATTTTACTTTTTCTTTCTTTTTTTTTTTTCCCCCCAGATAAATACATTTTAGAAAGCTTTTCAATGGGGAAGGCAGTGTTTTGTGTGAACAATGACTGCTGCAGTAGCAGTGTTGAAATGCTCTGCTGTGGTGCTGCTGTGCTGTGGCTGAGGACACGGCCGTCGTGATGCCCAGTATGAGGCTGACTTGTGCAGGGGGCACATAGGCCCACATGTGTCATGTAGCTCTGGGCAGCAGGCTGCGTTTTTCCGAGTGATGCAACATTAGTGCTGCAGAAAGCTTTTGTGCTGTTGAAATCTGTGTCAGAAGAGATGTGATGCAGACATACAGGCGTGGTGCATAAACGTGGCTAGCTGTGTGCAGCAGTCGTAAGCACTGCTAAAAGCCGGCTCATGGTGGGAGGAAGGAAAAAACACATCCTGCAGCATGAGCTCAGCACTCCTAGAAATAATTCTTAACATTTCTGTAATTCACCGGCTCTGCTCACGGCTGTCTTTTGAGCCGGGACATCCTCCAGTGAGTGAAGTCTGATGCTGGATGGCCTGATGACAGGTCCCGGGGTTCTTCACCTGTCAGGCTGCCTTTGTACCCCAGGACAATTAATTTCATTTTCAAAAAGTGTTGTAGTTCTACTTTATGAAGGAAGCAGTGTTCACCACAGGGAAGGACTCAGGGCAGCCGCTACAGTTGTAAATACTCAGCATAGTACAGAAGGGTGCTGTTTTCTTTTTTTTCTTAAAGCCTGTGTGGTACGCTAGGCTGAGGGCTCCAGGGGCTGCTGCTGGGCATGAACTCAGCGTGGGGCGTGCGGTGCTTGTGGCTGCTGCCTGCATGTGGCTGCGAAGCATGGCTCTGCATCGCTGCTGCTTCTTTGGGAAGCGGTTCATGTAATGCTCTCTGCTTTCTCCTGACCTCCAAGGCTGCTGCGTTGTAACACTTTCTAACACATACTAACAGTATGCAGAAGCAGATGAATCTTTGTATTTGTGCAAGTCATTTACATCTGGCTCATTTTTTCTTTCAAAAAAATCCATGCTCGTAGAGATTCTGTAACCTGTGTCAGTGTCTTGTCACGTGTCATGCTACCCTTCCTCCAACACAACGTTTTGGTGTTTTGTTTTGTTTTTTTAAATACAAATTTTTAGATGAAAGCAAACCAATCTTTATCGTAGACTCGAGGAGAGTTCACTTTTATAGCAGATCTATGATGCTATTGGCAGCCAGGCACTGTGCACAGGTGTTTCGGTCCAACAGTCTTGTAAAAGCAGCAGCAGCCACTGCTGAGCCTTGGCATGCTGATGTTGGTACGCCCATGCCTGATTTACCAACAGAAGATGTTTAAAGATGTCTTTGAAACTCTGAGGCTGACTTTTCATATCTATAAAAATATATATATACTTTTCTCCCTTAAAAATCACTTCCTCAAATGTTCTGAATACCAAATTTGTGATAGGCTGTTTCAGTAGAAATTGTTCAACAGGGGAAAGAAAGTGTTTTACGCATTACTTAATTGTTTTCATAATGATGTTTAGTATCATTGCACAGGTAAGTAACGTGAGTAGACAGAATGCACAGCACTCACCTGTGAGTGGATGGTGACATGTAGAAGAGCTGAGTTCTGTTCACATAGAACCTGTGCATGCTAAAGTAATTTACTTCTTCTTTTCCCAACTGCTGCATCAAATGGGCGGTCTAAATTACCTGTTTGGAACGGGTAAGAGCAGAACTGTAGTGTGCCTGTTTTAGAGACACAGCTTGAACCAAAGGTCACTGTTGGGAACCCTTTCTTGCATCACTTGATGGTCCCATGTGGGGAGTAAGGCCCTTAGGTTTAGAGCTGCCTTTAACCAGGATCCTAAGTGTTCTCCAGAACAGATTTGTTGTATGCAGCTCTTGGAAATATTTCTGATTGACCTACCAAATTTTTGCAAGCAACAAAAGATATTCTCAAACTTGAAGCAATCCCAAATATAGCACATGCACTGATAGCCTACTGGCTATTTCTACCATATTTTAGTCATGTATTGGTTTTTTTCCACTTAGTGCTTGGTTGTCTGGATATGAAAGCCCTGTGGTATCTCGCATTAACACCAGGATACAGGACTTAACAGGGCTCGATGTCTCCACAGCAGAGGAACTTCAGGTGAGTGACTGACTTCCACAAGTATGGTGCTCTTCATTTTGGATGGCAGTGCATGTAGAACAGTGCTCCTGTCTGGGAGGTCGTCACAGACGCTCATTACATCCGCGGCCAGCTAAGTTGGTGTCTGGTTGGATCTAAGATCAGGAGAAGAATGACTGTTATTCTTCACAGGGAGGTAGAAGCAGTTGTCATTGCAGAGTAGCACTTGCTGTAGTGTGAAATAGTTCGTTGCTGCTGCAGGGAATAACCAAAGCTCACAATGTTTATCGGAATGAATGTAATTTCTTTTTATTTATACTGGTGGAGCCCTTCCTCAAGCCTCCCAGTGATAAAATGTCCAAGCACCAAGCTGAAAATTGACAGTAGATGCAAGGAAGAGGAGAAAAAGATGTGAAAATGACATAGCGGTCAAAAAGTGATTTAGATTTGAATGATACAAGCTATTTGGAAAGGAATATTGCCAATAATGTTTCTACAGAGAAAAAGTATTTTTCAGCCCTGGAGGACGGGGAAGGGACTCGTTGGTGTGAAAAAGAATGTCTCAGTGAAGTCCGATTAATTTGTGAATAAAGCCAGTGTGGCTTCCAGGAGCATGGTACATTTCATCTGACAGAGACTTGTGATTTCTTATAGCTTAATTATGAAACCCCATCTATCAAAAGGCTGTAATTGACAGTCAAATTCTTGACCTTTCTTGTCTGGATAAAGTAGCTTTACTAGATTTTGTGCTTCTCCTTTTGCTGTAGGTAGCCAACTACGGAGTAGGAGGCCAATATGAGCCTCATTTTGATTTTGGAAGGGTAAGTCCTGCTTCCTGTCTCCACCTCTTTCTTCTTCACAAGTGCTGTGTTTCTCTTTTTCAGGTGGCAAATTATGGAGTGGGAGGACAGTATGAACCCCACTTTGACTTTGCACGGGCAAGTAGATGGAGGAGAGCTAGTCACCTGGTGAAGCCTGGGCCTCCTGGCTGTGGCACAACTTGTGTTCTTTATCGTGAATTAAATTTTGTAGCTCTTCAACTTTTCTAATCCGTGCTAGTGGAGAAGCCCTCTAAACCACCAGCTGAACTGAGAAACATTTCAGACATCGTGGAGCAACAAGGGTTTTCTTCAAAACCAAAATTTATAAGGAGCTATTCTTAAGGAGATGACAGACACTTCTTACCAAAGCAAAGGGCACTGGCTTTATTGTTACACTGGAACCACATTTAGAATTTAGGTTGACCAAGGCACTGGCAATGTAAAGCCACTGAAGAACATACAGTCAAACTGCTCAGTGTATATCCTGTTCTCCTGGCACACAGAGGATGGTGCATCCATGCACTGAGGCTGGCACACAGGGGTCTGCAGTGCGGTTAAGGCAGATGTGGCTGCAGGGCTGACAGCTTGATGCCCTTTTCTAGATGGAAAGTTTTGGAGGCAGTGTAGTAAAACTTGCATTGCAGCTTACCGTGCAGGCCATGCCATACAGAGAGAGCACTTCTGCCTGAGCTGAGATGCAGGCATGCTCTGTGCTGCTGAAGAAATTGTTCAAGTGCTCTCTGTTATTGTTCTTTAGCTGCTGATTGCTGACAGACTACTTAAACTGGAAAAGGCTTACTTTTTCTTTTTTTTTCTTTTTTAACTACTGAGTTGTTCTCATCACACAATCCCCCTTTTATTTGACTGAAATTCAAAACTTATTTCTCTTCCAGCTTAAATTTCAGAGTGCTGGAAATAATTACGCTGAATTCAGTTGGTTATTTACTGGGCACACTTGTTTGTGATTGAATGCTTTCAGATTATCCTTATGCTGTGAATCCAAGCCACCAGCTATTAATCAGAATTTCTGCTCTGTAAGCACATGCGCAAACGCATTGCAAGTGATTTAACAGTTTCTGTTTGGAAATGCTTGGGTTAGTTTCTGAAATACTGATTGCTGGAAATTTTATTGTGCACACAAATAAGACAGGAGGTGGGCTCTGCGTGTTTAGAAAACAACAAACACAACTACTAAAGTAGAGGTGTGACAAAAGCTGGCTCATACCCCCCCCAATGTGGGGCTTTGTTCCTTAAATCAAGTGCTCCCTTCTGAACACAGTGCTGCACTGTTGTTGGCACAGCCCCACACTCATGTTTGGCATGCACCTACCTTAGTCCTGTTGAAAGCTTCAGGAGTGGCTGCCATGGGTGCTCTGCGGCCGCAGTACAGCACGAATGAATCGCTCACGGAGGCTCTTTGTGGCACTCCAAAAGCTTCTGTGCCAGGGAGGAGCGCAGGATGCAGAAGGCTGTCAGTGGTGAGGGCAGAGGAGCAGCAGGGAGCAGGGCTCACTTGGGTCTGGCTGAGCCTGGGGCTGGAGAGCTGCCCTCATTGGTGCTCCTCTTGGGGGAGGATGAGAAGGCTGAGGTAGCTGTAATGAAATAATTACCCTTGTGGCTCTAAAGTGGAGTTGTATACTAATTTTGAGATGGTACAGCTGTTCTTACCCCTTAGCAACTTGGGCACGACTTCTGTGTCCTGTAGCATTTTGAATGCCTTATCTAAATAGGTGCACTTACCTTCAGTTCCTGCCCCTGACTAGAGTGAATGGAAATTTTTCTGCATGAATTTGTCCACTGCTGGCTCTGCAGCTGTCTGTCATTGGCTCCTCAATAATCAAAATGAAATGCTTGTTAAAACTGCTTGCTTTTATTCACAGAAAGACGAACCAGATGCTTTTAAAGAATTGGGAACAGGCAACAGAATTGCTACATGGTTGTTTTATGTAAGTGATACATTTCTGCCATGTGCTTTTGCCAATAAGGTCTTGTCATTGCACATCCTGTATAGCTGAATTATTTCATTACTTTTGTTTAAACTGAAGTGATTTGCAGATGAAGGCAGCCATCACCTCATAGTAACAAATACAGGTACCTTACCTGTAAGTCATGGCTCTTACCTGTGCTTAAGTGCTTAAGGAGGTTCTTTTCCCTCAGAGCTCAGTAGCAATTTAAAATATTTGACTGCCAATTCATTTTTATATCTGCATCAAGATTTACAGCACAGTCATTGCCATGACATTTCAGCACTTACCATTCGGGGCTATTGCACTTCAAACCAAACGGGTGGGTTTTAGAATTAATGTTTTTAATCACGCAGCCTTTGATCAGTAAGTGAGAGACATAAAATAAGTTGCTGAATTATTTGTTTTACTAAAATGTGACATCTGAGGGACGCAGGGGCTTGCAGCTTACCTGTGCCTTTTCCCACCCTTCCAGATGAGTGACGTGTCAGCAGGGGGAGCTACCGTCTTTCCTGAAGTAGGAGCAAGCGTTTGGCCTAGAAAGGTAAGGAAGGGTTTATTGTCCAGTTTAACTATCCTCTCTTCACCTGCACAAAACCATAAAGCATGTATGTTTGAACATTGGAAAGAAAGCTTTACAGTGAGTTTATGTGGAAAAGAGCCCTGGTCACAGCGTGCTTACAGGTGAAGCTGCTGGAGCTGTACTGGTGGTTCCAGGACCCTCTGAGCTGCTGCATGTTGGCTCATAGTCACGTTTTGGACATGAAGTAAATCAGAGTCTCAGTCCATAGCAAAGAAATGTTAGAATAAGGAAAACAGCCTTCAATTTAAAAGGAATCTTTGAAATACGCATGCTCCTCTATCTTATTGTTGAGTAAGTTGGTGTCACACAGAGCAAAAAGCTGAGGATTTCCACTGCAATTTCCAGGGAACAGCTGTATTCTGGTACAATCTCTTTCCAAGTGGAGAAGGAGATTACAGCACACGGCACGCAGCCTGCCCAGTACTAGTTGGAAACAAATGGGGTAAGTGTCCGTGGTGATGCTCCTGCTGCTTGCGACCTGGAGCTAAGGGGATGCCTGTGGGTTGCTTTGCCTTTCCTTTTTCCTTTGGACCTCACAGAAGAATAAAAAGCAGGCAGAAGTGTTAGGTCCCTTTTGAAGAAATCTGTCTCTATACATAGTGTTACTATGTATGTAATACTGTGTGTTTTTTATTTATATCTAAAATATAGTAGTATATTGAATGGTCTCACATAGTTTTGTACCTATGGAAAGGTATTTTTCCCCTTTGATGGATTAGGCCAACTTCACATTTGTGTATTGTGTTAAAATACTTAAGCAGTGGATTTTTAAAATTTTCTTAGCTTAGCCAGAAGGATGAGCTGAAGGATGCAGTGACCAAGTACCTTCATGTCATTGCAGTGTCCAATAAATGGCTCCACGAGCGGGGACAGGAATTCCGAAGGCCGTGCACGTTATCAGAGTTGGAGTGATGCAGATTCGTCCTTCTCCTCTGTATTCAGTTTGTGTAAAATGCACACATCTCCTACAGTTTACAGTTGACTAACACTCCACTACAGATTCAGTCTTCAACTACACCAGTGTTTCATCTGTGGACAAAAAACCCCACGCTTTCAGTTCCTTCTAAAATATCCCTTTTAAGGTTTTATAAACAGATTATATTGAGTTTAAGGTCTCTGAGTGTTACAGGAAAAAAGAAGAGAACAAATTACAGATGAGGGCTACAACCAAGAGTGGTGTTGTGTGATGTTCCTTCACCATAGCCCCTCTGAGCAGCCACTGCTCGCTTGCTTTGGGCTCACTGCAACTGTCTGTTGCCCGATGATACAGTGGGAGGGCTCCTTTCGAAGGAAGGCTGAATTAAAGCAGTTCCTGTTCTATTTTCAGACATCTGGCTCCTTGCTTTTCTAGAGTGCATGAAAACTGTGGCTGTGGTTTGTCTTCATGTGGGAAAGAGCCTGTTATCTGTTGCGGCCTGTTTTCCAACTCCATAAAAGCCCAAATTTTTGGTCAGTCTTCCTTCTTAGCTTTTATGGTGAATTTGGCTCTTCACCATGAAAACATGAGCCAGCAGTTGCACATGCATCAATGAAATGCTTCAGCAGTGTTACGTCAAACACATGCCTGCATCAGAGCAGCCTGACAGTGAGCAGAGCCTATCTCCTCTGTTTTTTTTCTCTATTGTTTGTCCACATCAAAAGAAACAAATGCTGCTTTTATTCTGTCCTAGTGGTAAACACATCTGTTCCTTGGGCAGTGGGGATGGGAATGTTTCCGTCTTCATTACTAGCAGTAATTGTGCCTTTGGACACTGGAATTTCAAATTGGTTATGAGACTTCAGGTGAGGAGGTAACACACTTGTCACAGAATGCTCTCCACCCCTGTCCTCCCAGTTCTCAAGTTCTGTGAGAAATTGATGGCCTATTTATAATCCTAGATCCTTTTTAGATTGCTTTTTCTTTTGCAGATGTTTTTGCTGCTCTGGGTGCTGCGTGCAGCCTTCAGCAGTGACATGCCTTTAGTTAGGGGATGCTGCTCATACAGAGCCAAGGCTCTGCCTGCTCTCCATGCTGTGCTGTTATTTACCTCACTGAGGCTGCTCCATCAGCCGGGGCTGGTTCTGGTGAGCAGGGAAGCACTGGGAAGGGGCCATAGCAGAGGCTGTGGTGTCACTCACATCTCTGCTGCCAGTTCCATGAGCCAGGCTGGAGCTGTGCTGATCACCCCCTGCACCCATGCATGTGTGAGCACACACACACACAGTCCCCAAGTCAACAGCGCAGTAGAACTAGCTCACGGTGACTTTCAAGGACTATGGTTTGTGATGAGTCTTCCTTAAGCTGAGATGACATTGAAACCTCTAAGGGAGATGAGAGCGTGGCAGCTGTAGCTGTTGGACTTCTGTTCTGCTCTTGAGATTCCTGTGGGAGGAATAACTGCTGTCCCTGCTTCCCCCCAGCACAGAAGGAGCTGAGCAGGGCAGGGAGGGACTGCAGCAGATTCCCTTTCCTTAGCCATCCTTCTTCCTCAGTGGGATTTTTAGCTAAATGGCTGACTATTCCACTAGCATAAGAACAAGAATTAAAGTGAGCTGCACCAGATTCTGCCTAAACAGTCTGATTTTCTGGATGATGATGGTTGTTACTGATTTAGGGGTCAAGCCTGAAGTCTTTACCAAGGAAAAAAATTCCAATTTTAGTTTTCTGCCTCCACAAAATCTTGAAAATTGAGCCAAAAGGTAGAAGAAACCAACAGTTACATGTGAGAAATACCTCCAGAATATGGAGGATGCAGTTTATGGTACTTGAGTTTGAAACACTGCCTACTTTAAAAATCTTTGCTGCAAAACGTCTTGTTAAATTTCTACTGAGCCTATTAGCAGTGGGACCTCCACAACTTTATCCTTAGCCCTGCACCTTCCTGTATTGTGCTTGTGTTTTTGAAAGGTGCAAAACAAAGCCCCATCCAGTACTTAACAAAAGGAGAAGTCAGAAACAGCTCCACCACTCCTGCACTGCTCACTTATTCAGAGTTGCTGGTACAACAGAGCAGTATCTATCTGACAGAAATAGACTCTTAAAAAAATTAAAAAATTGGAGTGATAAAAATAACGCTAAGTTGTAACAAGTAAAAACAAAAAGAATAGGTAACATCCTTACTTAGCCAAGTTTTCACCTTTCTACATGATGTCAGTACAGTCTTTTCCTATCTATGGTGTTCTCTTTCCCATCTTCTCCCTTTTCTTAAGCTCCAGGAGAAGAAGGCAGCGGTGGCTAGGGGTGAGTCCTGCCGCTTCCCTGCAAGTAACAGACAGCAGTGTGGTGTTAGGAATCCTGTTTGGGGGCATTCATTTTTTGCCAGTAGCTCAGAGGCATCTCTGAATGGCTTTAGATAAGCCTGTTTTGCACAGTTAACTAGCACAGAAAGAATCACTGCATCACCACCACGCACGTGTTTGGAAAGCAGCGTCTGGTTTTGCTATTAACAGAGCAGCTGTTTCTTTCTGAAGCAGGCAGAGGAATTACTTGACATGAAAATAATTCAAAGATAAAATTTGTACAAGGTAAGAGAGAAATTCTGAATAAATGTGGCAGTGATCGTTCTAGTACTGTGACACTGTAAGAGAATGCTGGGGGCTCGCACATGTTGGATGGAAAAATAGAGGGCTGAAGTGATGAAAAATCACCTTTTCATTGTATCAAGCAATTTTCCCCCTATCTCTGTCCAAAACCAAAAGCTGAACAGTGAGCCCAGAAGAACCAGTGGAACGTACAGGGCAGTTTGCTGAGCAGGTCCCTCCCTCAGCTGCTATCAGGTAGCTCCAAGGCTGACTTTCATTTTAAGAATGGTCTCTAAAGAGGCAACACTTGGGAAGTACAAGGTTTTTGTGCAGGACTTCTTCAATCAGTGATCTACATAACGACCTGCAGTTCTTCAGAGAAGAAACAGTTTGTCTTTTGACAGTGGAAAATTTCACTTGGTTTCAAAGGAAGGTCTCCCAAAACTCAAGTCTCAAGTCTGCTGAGGCACATCAGACTGAAACGTCCCAGGTTAGTGGTAGAGAAAGCGTAGGTTTTTCCTTTAAGCTGCAGATAATCCATACTTCATCCTCTTCTGCTGCGGCAATGTTTGTACACCTTGTCCTAAGTGTGTGATTGGTGATGCAGGTGGCGGTGTTCCTCTCTGCCTTATCCCTTCATTTCTCCAAGGGCTGTCGTGGATCAAGAGCGTGGCTCCTGTGTGAATCTAGTTTTGTATTAAAGATGATTGAAAACTGTTTGGCTCGCAGTGACTGAGAATTGAGAAACTGCCTTACTGTTACATTTTTTGTAATAAAAATTTTAATATAAAAAAATGGGCTTAAAATAAAAGCCACTGCCATTAGCAGTGAAAAATCCTCCACATCAAACTCGTCATATGTGGCTGTCTTAAATCTGATCATGCATACTTCTATCACCATATGTGTTTCCTGGAAACAGAGCTCGTTTGCTTCACTTCATGATCCAGGCAGACAGGTGTGGAGGGATGCTCATACCACTAGTTCCTCTAGAGCACGTCCTCAGACTCGAGCTTTGTGTCTTGCCTGGAAACATAAGGCTCTAATGGACTGCAGAAGAGGATGGCAGCTAATGCTAGGCTGGAAGCATGCGTGCAAGAGCTCTGAGGGAGGAGCGTGGCTCAGCCCTTGGTCTCTTTTTTCAGTAGCTGCTGTGAGATGTAACAGCAGCTGTTAAAGTAATTGCACTCCTGGCTTGGTACTCAAAACCAGACCGACAAAGGGTCAGCTGCTAGAGGAGCCTTTTGTCAGGGAGGGTAAATACTTGCATTTCCTGATAGGAAGTCAGACACCCAGTTCTGAACAGTTCTGGGGAAGGGAGGACACATCAGACTGTCATAGAATCATTAAGGTTGGAAAAGACCTCTAAGATCATCTAGTCCAACCGTCCACCTACCGCCAGCAATCCAGGAGACAGCACTGACACGTAGGATGCCCGGGCTGATGGCTTCCGTAGCTGGACTTGTCCCGCAGTTCATACACCTCAGCTGTCCTCGTGCTTCTCTAAAAACAGCAGAGCTTGTACTTAATTTGCAGTCATCAGGAAGCTGGGGAAAATCAATGAGTAAACAACTAAAACGTAGCAAGGGCTGGTGACAAGCCCTACTGCTGTCTGTGGAGCAGAGCCTTGTGCTGCTGTCAGAACCCTTGGCTGCAACTCGGGATCTGCCCTCGCTTCTCTATGCAGCCCAAGGACTGAGGCGTTGCCCTATCCCTGCCCATGCTGGCAGCATGGCCGTGGTGGGGTGACACCACCCACCCAGCAGGGGTGCTGGGACAGGGGCACAGCCTACCACCCATCCTGCGGGCCGGGACTCAGGGCTGCCCCTCGAGGAACACAGGTGTTTCATCACACAGCTGCATGGATAACCAATGACTCATCTGGCTCCCAAGTCAGGCTTTGACCCAGCCATCATTAAGCACGAACTTTAACCTTGGGCTGCCAGCTCCCCTGCCTCAACCTGTGCTTCAACCCCAGCACCTCACCCCCAAAGGGTGCAGTCCCCCCGTGCTTCATCACAACCCCAGCAGAGTACCAAGGGAAGGCCCTGGCCAAGTCCACCAACGGGCCCTTGCCCACTCAGTGCTCCCCACCACCAAGCTGCAGCACCGCCAGCACTGACTGTGCCATTAGGAGCAGTGACTCATCCCCGCCCCGGGCTGCTCTATATTTGAGCATTACAGTGTCAGAAATGAATGCATAGCGTTCAGAGCTGCTCATCCCAGGGTCAGGACGAGGTTCAGAACCCAGCTGTCGGAATTCACCGCCGCCCATACCTCCGTCATGTGGAGAGAGAAGCTGGCAGAGGCAGGAGGCATCTGCAGCCTCATTTGGAGGAGGGGGGGAAGGCGGCTCACCCCCTGCAGGGCAGAGCAGCCGCCACGTTTTGGGGCAGCAGCTCAGGGCTGCTTTTTCATTCACAGGCCTTTGCTTCGGCGCAAGCGACAAACCAGCAGGGAAGCTTCTTTCCCTGGCCCTGCACACTGCCAGCTGCTCCCCAGCCCTGTCCAACTTTCCTAAAAAATCCTGATCGATTTTGCAAGTGGCGCTGGCTTCACGCTCGCTGCCCAGAGCCTCCAGCCTGCACGTCCTGCACAGCACAGTGCACACAGCTCATGCACTAGGCACTGCATTGTGCATCTCTTGCTGCCCTGCCAGCGTTCTTCCCTTGCTTGTCTGCACTGGGTGGCTCATGGATCACCTCAGGATCACTATGAGGTGACAAAGCTGTGCACCAGGCACAGCCACCTGGATGGCTTCACTGGGGCTGCCTGACAACAAATCCCAGCAAGAAAAGCTGCCCATTTGCTGCACAACCACCAGATCCCCAGCACGGCTTGAGCAGCAGAACAGGTCTGGGTCTCCTGCACTGCCTGCCCAAGGGCCTGGGAACAGGCCCCAGAAGGCAGCAGCTGGATCCAGTTCTGCACTGCTCAGCGAGGGACAGAACAGCTGCCTACTCTTCCCTCCACTGACCTGTACTGGCAGCCCAGACATGGAGGTGGTCCCTCCTTATCCCATAGCTGGAGCACAGGGCAGGAAAAGGCCTGGGCAGGGTGCTGGAGGGCTCTGGCTCTTGGGCAGTAAACATGACATGGGGCTGAGCCTCCTGAAAAACGTGTCAGGATTTGCATTTACGTTTGCTATACATCTGAAAAGCCAACAGCCTGGCTCCCCTCCACTCCAGAGAGCCTCTGGCAGTGCAGTGCCAGAAAAGAAGTGGCCAATGGAGCAGCTGCTGGTGCCTGCACTGCAGGGCAGTCTGCAGAGTGGCTGTGTCTCAGCAGGACATATCCAGAGCTTCCCAAGCGGAGCTCTTCCCTTTATCACTGGTTTGCGCTGTCTATTGCTGTTGGTTTGTTTGGTTGTTTTCTTTTAATGAGTAACTTCAAACTCCCCCATGGCCACATGTGCCCACAGGCCCCAGCATTAGGATCAGCATTGCCTCATGGGAGCAGTGCTGCTATTGCAGTGCAGGGAAGGCTGGAGGCAGACACTCCCCCCCTGCAGGCAGCAGCAGGGCATGGTGGGCAGCGAAGGGCTTCCTGGTGAGCAAGCAGCCCCTGCTCTGCCTCTAGGAAGGGCCTTTAGGGGGACCCTGTCACAGCAGCCAATCCCCTGGTGCTCTGATAACTGGGCCGGTTCCAGTGGGATTGTGCAAATGCAAACCCGGTATTCCTCTATGAGTCCAAACCCCATGTTGCACTTTGCACTCTGATTGCTGTGACCTCATCCCGGTCCCTCAGCAGCGTTTAAAGTTCGGGGCAGCAGGGTGCTCACCTCCTCCCACGCACGCAGCTCGCTCCCACTGCTCCCTGCCCACACATCGGCGTGCATGAGGGCGCAGGGCCTGCGTCCGGGCTGCAGGATGCGGCTGCTCCTGGAGGCAGCGGTTCTGTGCCTGATCCTGTGCCTGGGCCACAGCACCGAGGAAACCACGCAGGAGAACACCGCCCAGACCTCCTACACAGAGTCCTACTTTCCGGAGTGGGGCATCGGGGCCATCCGGGACAGCTTCGAGACGGTTAACAGCTACTTTGACTCCTTCTTGGAACTGCTCGGGGGGAAAAATGGCGTTTGCCAATACAGGTGTCGATACGGTAAGTGAGGGGTGTCCCACACTGGGGACACGGGGCAGAGCACTGTGTCTGGGGCTGGGGGCAGCTTCAATTGCTGCAACAGGCACTGTCTGTCTGTTCTGCACAGGAGCCGCCGGGGTGGGCAGCAAGGCCATCAGCAAAGTCGGCCTGTCTACACATTGCACACACACTGCTCTATGCCAGTGACAGATACATTCTACTACTTTCCTAATCTGATGCTGATGGAGCCCTCAGAGACACGCTGCTACCCCATGTCCCCGCACAGCCCTTTTCTCCCTGCTCCTGCGTTCCCTGACACCCACAGCTCTCCTTCCCTGAGACCACAGCCTCTTGCACCCGTAACCAAACCCCTGCCCTGCTCAGCACAGATGGGTCACTGCATGAGTCATGGCTGTGCTGCTGGTTCCAGCACAGGGAACCCTCACCTCCTCATCCCTCTAAACGAGCGCAGCCTGCTCAGTGCCAGGGACAACAGAACAAGAGGAGAGGATGTAAGAAGAGTATGCAAGCAGCCTGGCTGCCAGCTACCAGGCCTGCTAGGGAGGAAGAGCAGCCCTGAGGAGAAGGAGTTGGTGGAGCCAATGGTAGCCGTAATCTCAGCAACCTTCGGAGTGGGTTATTCAGCAGCTGCAGGTTGGCTAATAGCAAGGGTTGGAGGAGGGGAGATAACAGGAAAGTAAACGGAACCCATGTCACCATGGAGGAACTTTAGTACTCAAGGCGGAATGAGGCAGTGCTGCTCGCCTTGGACTTTGAGAGATTTACTAAAAAGGAAGAGTTTGATTTGTAGTGGGGGCAGTCAAAGAAGGCGGCAGATCAGGGACAACAGGCAAAGGCAGCCTGGAAGCACGCAGGTGACAGAGCAACAGGGCTGTGGCACACCCCTGGTGTGGACACAGAGCACTGGATGGGCCCAGGCAGCAGTAGCCATCAGCAGGATACCAACCAGCTTCATAGAATCATTCAGGTCGGAAGAGCCCTCTCAACTCACTCAGCACACCCCCACCTGCCCACGTTCCTCAGTGCCTCATTTCTGTGGCTCTGGAACACCTCCAGGGATGGTGACCCCACCAGCCCCCTCAGCACCCTGTTTCAATGCACTTCCACTCTATGGGATAAGTTTTTCTTAACATCCAACCTGCTGTTTGGGAACAGCAGGAACTGCATCCTGCTGCCAGCTTCCCATATGTCCTGGGAGAGAGCCCAGCCCTCTGTCACCTGCCCATCCAGCAATACCCACCAGGTACTTTCCTCCCAGTTTCATCCCACATCCCTGGTGACTGCCTGAGCAAGATGCCTGTGAGCACTGAGGTGTTTTCATCCCTTCTTGCCTTGAGCATTCCAGTTTACAGTCATGGACTCTATGCTTTGGAGAGATCCTCCCAGCTCAGTTTCTGTCCACACACATCCCACTTCTTCTAGGAAGTGGGCTGCACACTGTGTCTCCCTGGGCTGTGTGGGCCTATCTGCAATGCTCCTCAGCCCGATGGAAACATCTCCTGAGCCCACAGTGGGGAAGACATTGGGAGAAATACAGATGCTATAGTGTGCTGAGGCCACGGAAGGGAAGATGGGTGATGAAGCTCGATTCAGGGAGGCTCATGACTCACCATTGTTCCAGAGAAGTCATTGCTCTCAGGCCATGGCTTTCCCCTGTCCTGGCTCCACTGCCCCGCTCCTGTGCAAAGGCCTGCCCATTCCTCTGGAACATCCTGCTTCATATCAGAGAAATGCTTTACCTTGAAAGGAAA